ATGATCATGAGGAAGGTGAGGGATCAGCCCATAACTACACGGCAGGACCTGGTCCATGACCTGAAGAGAGCTGGGACCACAGTCTCAAAGAAAACCATTAGTAACACACTACGCCGTCATGGATTAAAATCCTGCAGCACACGCAAGGTCTCCCTGCTCAAGCCAGCGCATGTCCAGACCCGTCTGAAGTTTGCCAATGACCATCTGGATGATCCAGAGGAGGAATGGGATAGGTCATGTGGTCTGATGAGACAAAAATAGAGCTTTTTGGTCTAAACTCCACTCGCTGTGTTTGGAGGAAGAAGAAGGATGAGTACAACCCCAAGAACACCATCCCAACCGTGAAGCATGGAGGTGGAAACATCATTCTTTGGGGATGCTTTTCTGCAAAGGGGACAGGACGACTGCACCGTATTGAGGGGAGGATGGATGGGGCCATGTATCGCAAGATCTTGGCCAACAACCTCCTTCCCTCAGTAAGAACATTGAAGATGGGTCGTGGCTGGGTCTTCCAGCATGACAACGACCCGAAACACACAGCCAAGGGCAACTAAGGAGTGGCTCTGTAAGAAGCATCTCAAGGTCCTGGAGTGGCCTAGCCAGTCTCCAGACCTGAACCCAATAGAAAATCTTTGGAGGGAGCTGAAAGTCCGTATTGCCCAGCGACAGCCCCGAAACCTGAAGGATCTGGAGAAGGTCTGTGTGGAGGAGTGGGCCAAAATCCCTGCTGCAGTGTGTGCAAACCTGGTCAAGACCTACAGGAAACGTATGATCTCTGTAATTGCAAACAAAGGTTTCTGTACCAAATATTAAGTTCTGCTTTTCTGATGTATCAAATACTTATGTCATGCAATACAATGCAAATGAATTACTTAAAAATCATACAATGTGATTTTCTGGATTTTTGTTTTAGATTCCGTCTCTCACAGTTGAAGTGTACCTATGATAAAAATTACAGACCTCTACATGCTTTGTAAGTAGGAAAACCTGCAAAATCGGCACTTTTGACAGTACCAGTCAAAAGTTTGGACACACCTACTCATTCAAGGGTTTTTCTTTATGTCTACATTGTAGAATAATAGTAAAGATATCAAAACTATGAAACAACACATATGGAATCATGTAGTAACCAAAGAAGTGTTAAACAAATAAAAAAATATTTGAGATTTGAGATTCTTCAAATAGCCACCCTTTGCCTTGATGACAGCTTTGCACAATAATCCTCCTCCTCACCTCCTATGACAGTCAATTGCAAATTAGTCTGACATAATGTATCTTATCTCACCACCACTAATGAGATGGGTGTGCTTGATGCATGTCGCGTCGGAGCTTCTCAAAGTCAGGGGGCGTGGTCGACAGTGCGCACCTGATCTCTGCTGTCACATCCAACCTGGATCGATATTTGGTTTTAATGCAGACGAGAGCACTGAATCCAGCTTCACACAGATATGAGCTGGCGAAGGGTACCATGGGTTTTATAGTGCTTTCAAGAACGAGGTCAAATCATGATGTCAGTGATCTTCAGGTCGGAACGTTGGAACTCTAGAAAGAGGCCAGAGTTCCAGAGTTGGAATTCCGAGTTGTATGACCGTTCAAAACGATATTTCCCAGTCTGAGCTAGTTTTTTTCAGAGTTCCCAGTTGTCATGAACGCACTGAAGTCTGAGATTTCCGAGTTTCCAGTTCCAGTTGTTTTGAACGCGGCATTAATGCTCACAGGGAGACGCCAAGATATTCCCTTTGAGTCAGGAACCAAAACTCCTCTGTAGTGACCCGTGAATGCATTCAGTCACATGACAGCTCGATCAGCTGTTCGATTTCACTTACCGGCATGTCAACTGAGCCAGGATCACAGTCAAACAGATTGGAAAGTAGGTCCTAAAGTGCTCTTCCAAGCATTGGAAGTGAGCAGTCATCATTAATGTGGGACATGTTAGAAACATGCACAGCCGAGGGAAGGGGCTATGGGTTCACTTTTGAAAGACTCTGTGAGTCGGTCACTCATCTGTAGAATGTTTTTGTATTTCCCATGCACTCTTGCGTTCAGTACGTTCAGTTTCCCAAATTTGTCTGTTACATAGGCAAGGAGACACATTTTATTTTCATTACACGGAAAGTCAACCAAGTCTGTTTTTATTTACATCCATTGTGAATGACAACAGTTCCTCTCTCAATGTGAAAAATCTTTCCAACACACCCCATCGATAACCACCAAGGTGTGAAATATAATATTGTCATACTCTGATCCCATATCTGCACATAGTTTTGTGAACAGGCGTGCACGCAGTGGATGTGGTTTGATATAGTTTACAATCGAAGTTACCTGCTACAGTATACACTGAGTATACCTAACATTAGGAACACCTTCCTAATATTTTGTTTTTTTGCCCATTTACTATCTGAATGGCACACATACACAATACATGTCTCAAGGCTTAAAAATCCTTATTTAACCTGTCTCCTCCCCTTCATCTACTCTGAGTTAAGAAGTGACATCAATAAGGGATCATAGCTTTCACCTGGATTCACCTAGTCAGTCATGGAAATAGTTCTTAATGTTTTGTAAACTCAGTGTATCTCTGAGTTCTGTGCTCAGCTCTTTTGCCGCCAATTTCTCTCGGTGTATCATACAATGCATCCATATGACAGAGGGACACACATTCATAACTAGTGTGCAGAGGCCTGCCCGCCGTCCCGCCATAGATGGAGACCCATCTGTGTAAAAGCCCACCATTCGATCCCATGGAATCTGTTTTTCATCAATATAGCCACACAGCACACTAAACATCCCTTGTGCCGTTTCATGCACGAGAATCGTGAGACAGAACAATATGTCCTTGTGAATAGCATCCCCCGACATGTATAGTGAACAAAAGTCAATGCATGCGCATCTCGGCCCTCACAGCTAAGGTCCATTTGGAGAGCATAAACTGGGGAGTTTTTGAGTCATTCAGTCAGAATTTCCTCTTGATTACTAGCAATAGCATAAATTCTTCATTTAACAGTGTTATCTGACAAAGGTATTGAGTTTCTGTGCCTCTGCCACCCCACACATTGTTTTCACCATATCAATTGCGGCCGGTAATATCAAAGTCTCTGCAATAGTGTGTGGTTTCATAGCTTAGTGGGCCTAGCCATTTACCGTGGGAATGAGTTAAGTGCAAAGGTCAATTGCGGCCTTTTCATATGATCTAAGGGCACTCTCTGGTTGAATTTAACCTTTTAGATTTTAATAATTTTCATTTGGAATTTTAAGGTTAACCACATTACAATGATTTTGAGATACAAAGACGATATTATAATATATATATATTTTTGTATTTATTTATTATAAAATCTTCAGGATTTTGGAAATTCTCCACGACCCCTATTTTCATATCAGGTGGCCCCACATGGGGTCGCAACCCCTAGTTTGGGAACCGCTGGCTTAGCAGGTGGTATAGCGGGTGTAGCGAAATACTTATGTTACTAGCTCCTAACAATGCAGTAAAATGTCAAACAATTAACATTTATGTTTTTGGGGGGGGATTAACAACCGGGAGAATTTACACAATATCAACTAAGAATGATATGCATAGCAGTAGAGATATTAAGCTATGAGTAAGCTATGTCAAGAATCCAGAATCAATTAGATTATTTTTCTCAGAGATCAAATTATATTTCAACAAAACAATGTTTCAGAACAATCCCAGACGGTGGGTGTCGAAATCCTCTTGTGCTTTTTGAGGTGGAACGACCCTGTTGTTAAAGGGGGGCTGAATTTACGGATTTAGCCTCGGTTTCAATTCTCCTCATTAGGAAATGCGACTGATAACGAGATTTGGGTCTTGGAGGTGTGCTTTGATGTGGGTGTCTCTTGTGTGTGTGTGTTCGAACGTGGGAAGCATTTGTACTTTCACTCTGCCAAAACAGTACACAGTTACAGTCACTCACCCTTCTAGATAACTTGAAACAGTCTAACCAGGTATTGTGTCTAAAAGTAGCCTAGACAAGCTAGCAAGCTAGCCAACTTCTTTCGCAAATTAGCTTCAGCCGGCCAGTGTGCGACCGTGGTTTGACTTTGGATAGCCTATCTGTGCGGCTAGTTAGGGACCGTGAATAAATAACACAATGTAAATGGGACAATATTTTCATGTTATGCACCGTTTAGTATTGTAGTTAAATGCTTTCAATATTTGTATATGAATTTCTAAAATGTATAGTTGATTTTATATTTTTAAGTCATTGACATTTAAAAATATTCTCCCATGTACATTGTGTAATTTACTGATATTGCCTAACTAGCCCCATAGGGATATCCAAAGTGAAACCAAGATGACCATGGTCAGGTAGCATGCATCTGCGCTCCGAATTGATTATTACATTTACATTTTAGTCATTTAGCAGACGCTCTTATCCAGAGCAACTTACAGTTAGTGAATACATATATTTTTTTATACTGGCCCCCTTGGGAAATGAACCCACAACCCTGGCATTGCAAACGCCATGCTCTATCAACTGAGCTACATCCCTGCCGGCCATTCCCTCCCCTACCCTGGACCAATTGTGCGCCGCCCATGAGTCTCCCGGTCGCGGCCGGCTGCGACAGAGCCTGGATTCGAACCAGGATCTCTAGTGGCACAGTTAACATTGCGATGCAGTGCCTTAGACTACTGCGCCACTCAGGAGACTTATTACTTTGGTGCTGCCAGCTGTGGGCATGTGGGCAGGATTTAAATAAACCCAATCCAAGAAAAGCTGTTACGGTACCCTTTTACAATAATTTTTTTTCCTAATTATCTCACAAATCTCAGTTTTGGATGAGACTGAGTTTATGACCAAAATTATCCTATTTACACTTTGTAGTCAATTTTGACACTAGAATAAATGTTTCTGAGTCACATCGATGCGTTTTCAAAAGAAGAAGTTGCTTTTTTGGTTCAGTCGCCCTTTAAATGCAATGTGAATTCACTGTCACTGGTGATTGAAATACAAAACAAATGATATAGACAGTAAAAAAACATGGTTGTGTTACAGAATGAAGACTTCCAGCCAAAGAAGGGGAAGTCTACGTTCTACAATCTGCAGTCTGCAGGTCCACCTCAGGGGGGTAAGGTCTTCACCCAGGGTGCTGTAGGGAGCTGGAGATCCCCAGTGGAGACAGCCTACTCCAGCCAGAAGCCAGGGAGTGCCAGGGGGAGTGCCACGGGGCTGGCTGCCCAGCTGGAGCGCTACCTGGCTGGAGCAGCACATACCCAGAGCCGCCCAGTACCAGGGGAAGTGGTGGGACCCAAGGGGAAGCTCCACTATGTCAGTTATGTACGCCCTGTACGCCCTGGTGGTCAGGTAGAACCCCAGACACGACTTGGTGGCAGTGGCTCCAAACCGCCAAGGCCCAACATAGACAGGCTTCTCTTCAAGGCTGCATCCAACCATCAGGTGCCCAAGGAGCAGCTCAGTACGGTGGACGGTAAGGTCCTCTTTTTTTCCACAATGATTTGTGTTTGCGCTGTTCTGTGTGCCTCTGTGAACTTCAGATTAATTTGTAGATGATCCACACTAACTTTTTCAAAGTTCTTCTATGCTATTTTATTCATTTAGAGGCAACCGTGGTTCTGTGAACTTCAAAATCAGATGTCAATGTAGCCAGCTTGTGTAAGAAAAGTTTAGAGGAGTTACTTTCAGCTTTTCAATATTGTTTAGGTAGTCTACACAAATAAGAATGGAAGCGTATATAGAGGTAAGCATCTGGATGGTAGACTTCTTCTCACTGAAGTGCATTGTCCCTCATATACCATTAGGAGTCCCTGTTCAGGCAGGAATCGTTGCACTGTGGCTTCATATTCTATTTCAATATACCCTTTTATTTAGGTTGAAACATTGACATTGATTGAAACATGTCATTTTACTATCAACATTGAAACAATGTCAAATAAAATATGTCTAATCAAGTATAAAATTCTCCATACTTTAAACCACCCAATATACTGTATATTGAATATAGGATTTAAAAAATAAAAATGTTTCTATGGGGAATTTCCAACGCCATTTCAACATATACTGTACATAGTTCTGATGATTATGTTAAAATTAGATTGACGTAACAATCTGTTAGTTGGGTTAAGTCATTATATTTAAATAGAAGTTTAACCCTAATTTCAATGTTTACAACGCTGGTTAAAATGAGATGAAATCAGTACAGGCTGATTACTTTTTTCAAATCCAATGTATTTTCCACATTGATTCCATGTCACAATAAGTTGACAAATTACGTTGAAACAACATTGATTCAACCAGTGTGTGCCCAGTGGGAAGCTACTGGAAAGTTATGGTGGATCTCAAATTTACCATCCTCTGTGTTCCTCCATTTTACCCTCTCCCCCAGAGCGGTTCATCCTGAACGTGGTCAACCAGCTGGGAAGGCAGAGAGTGAACATGGACAGTCTGATGGGTAAAGACCTGGACCAGCTGGCAGACATCATCTCTGGTGCCCTGCAGGTGGTGGATGAGGAGGGGCCTGTGACGAGAGCCAAGCCCAGGCTCGTGGGACACATACGGGACAGACAGATGAAGAGAGAGCCCCTGCATTCCATAGACCAGGATGAGGAGAACCAAGAGGACATGTTAGAGCAAGATGCTATGCTTCAAGGTATAAATGAAAGAATGAATTAATGAATACTTTCCTGTCCCATAGGGAAATTTGCTTGGCAACAGTACATACTGTATAATAAATACATCACAAGACATACAACACTTCACTTATATACACTGCTCAAAAAAATAAAGGGAACACTAAAATAACACATCCTAGATCTGAATGAATGAAATAATCTTATTAAATACTTTTTTCTTTACATAGTTGAATGTGCTGACAACAAAATCACACAAAAATGATCAATGGAAATCATATTTATCAACCCATGGAGGTCTGGATTTGGAGTCACCCTCAAAATTAAAGTGGAAAACCACACTACAGGCTGATCCAACTTTGATGTAATGTCCTTAAAACAAGTCAAAATGAGGCTCAGTAGTGTGTGTGGCCTCCACGTGCCTGTATGACCTCCCTACAATGCCTGGGCATGCTCCTGATGAGGTGGCGGATGGTCTCCTGAGGGATCTCCTCCCATACCTGGACTAAAGCATCCGCCAACTCCTGGACAGTCTGTGGTGCAACGTGGCGTTGGTGGATGGAGCGAGACATGATGTCTCAGATGTGCTCAATTGGATTCAGGTCTGGGGAACGGGCGGGCCAGTCCATAGCATCAATGCCTTCCTCTTGCAGGAATTGCTGACACACTCCAGCCACATGAGGTCTAGCATTGTCTTGCATTAGGAGGAACCCAGGGCCAACCGCACCAGCATATGGTCTCACAAGGGGTCTGAGGATCTCATCTTGGTACCTAATGGCAGTCAGGCTACCTCTGGCGAGCACATGGAGGGCTGTGTGGCCCCCCAAAGAAATGCTACCCCACACCATGACTGACCCACCGCCAAACCGGTCATGCTGGAGAATGTTGCAGGCAGCAGAACGTTCTCCACGGCGTCTCCAGACTCTGTCACGTCTGTCACATGTGCTCAGTGTGAACCTGCTTTCATCTGTGAAGAGCACAGGGCGCCAGTGGCGAATTTGCCAATCTTGGTGTTCTCTGGCAAATGCCAAACGTCCTGCACGGTGTTGGGCTGTAAGCACAACCCCCACCTGTGGACGTCGGGCCTTCATACCACCCTCATGGAGTCTGTTTCTGACCGTTTGAGCAGACACATGCACATTTGTGGCCTGCTGGAGGTCATTTTTCAGGGCTCTGGCAGTGCTCCTCCTGCTCCTCCTTGCACAAAGGCGGAGGTAGCAGTCCTGCTGCTGGGTTGTTGCCCTCCTACGGCCTCCTCCACGTCTCCTGATGTACTGGCCTGTCTCCTGGTAGCGCCTCCATGCTCTGGACACTACGCTGACAGACACAGCAAACCTTCTTGCCACAGCTCGCATTGATGTGCCATCCTGGATGAGCTGCACTACCTGAGCCACTTGTGTGGGTTGTAGACTCCGTCTCATGCTACCACTAGAGTGAAAGCACCGCCAGCATTCAAAAGTGACCAAAACATCAGCCAGGAAGCATAGGAACTGAGAAGTGGTCTGTGGTCACCACCTGCAAAACCAGTCCTTTATTGGGGGTGTCTTGCAAATTGCCTATAATTTCCACCTGTTGTCTATTCCATTTGCACAACAGCATGTGAAATGTATTGTCAATCAGTGTTGCTTTCTAAGTGGACAGTTTGATTATACAGAAGTGTGATTGACTTGGAGTTACATTGTGTTGTTTAAGTGTTCCCTTTATTTTTTTGAGCAGTGTACAATATATATCACAGGACATATTTAAGACTAATCTACTGTAGGCAACCCAGAATGAAAATCTTGTGCCAGCTATTCAGTTAGGTTCACACCCCTTCACTTTTTCCACATTTTGTTGTGTTACAGCCTGAATGTATGTATTACATTTAGATGTTGTGTCACTGGCCTACACACAATACCCTATAATGTCAAAGTGGAATTATGTTTTTAGACATTTTTACAAATTAATTCTAAATGAAAAGCTGAAATGTCTTGAGTATTCAACTTTGTTATGGAAAGCCTAAATAAGTTCAGTAGTACAAATTTTCTGAACAAGTCACTTAATAAGTTGCATGGACTCACTCTGTGTGCAATAATAGTGTTTAACATGATTTTTGAATGACTACCTAATCTCTATACCCCACACATACAATTATCTGTATGGTCCCTCAGTCGAGCAGTGAATTTTAAACACAGATTCAACCACAAAGACCAGGGAGGTATTCCAATGCCTCGCAAAGAAGGGCACCTATTGGTAGATGGGTAAATGTTTTAAAAAGCAGACATTGAATATCCCTTTGAGCATGGTGAAGTTATTAATTACACTTTGGATGGACACCCAGTCACTACAAAGATACAGGCGTCCTTCCTAACTTAGTTGCCAGAGACGAAGGAAACCGCTCAGGGATTTCACCTTGAGGCCATTGGGGATTTTAAAACAGTTACAGAGTTTAATGGCTGTGATAGTTACTCCACAATACTAACCTAAATGACAGAATGAAAAGAAGGAAGCCTGTACAGAATAAAAGTATTCCAAAACATGCATCCTGTTTGCAATAAGGCACTAAAGTAAAACTGCAAAAAATGTGGCAAAGAAATGTACTTTATGTCCTGAATACAAATCCAACACAACACAGTACCACTGAGTACCACTCTTTATATTTTCAAGCATGGTGGTGGCTGCATCATGTTATGGGTATGCTTGTCATCGGCAAGGACTAGGGAGTTTTTGTGGGATAAAAAGAAATGGAATAGAGCTAAGCACTGGCAATATCCTAGAGGAAAACATGGTTCAGTCTTCTTTCCAACAGACATTGGGAGACAAATTCACCTTTCAGCAGGACTATAACCTAAAACACAAGGCCAAATATACACCGAAGTTGCTTACCAAGACGACATTGAATTTTCCTGAGTGGCCTAGTTACAGTTTTGACTTAAATTGGCTTGAAAATCTATGGCAAGACTTGAAAATGGCTGTCATGAATGCTCAACAACCAACTTGACAGAGCATGAAGAATTTTTAAAATAATAATGTGTAAATATTGTACAATCCAGGTGTGCAAAGCTCTTAGAGACTTACCCAGAAAGACTCACAGCTGTATTCGCTGCCAAAGGTGATTCTAACATGTATTGACTCAGGGGTGTGAATACTTGTGTAAATGAGATATTTCACTTTGTCATTATGGGGTATTGTGTGTAGATGGATGAAAAAATCAATGTAATCAGTTTAATCAATTTTGAATTCAGGCTGTAACTCAACAAAATCTGGAATAAGTCAAGGTGTATGAACACTTTCTGAAGGCACTGTATGAGAAAAGAGACTAGAACGAGGAGCAGAAGCAGGTTGGTACCTCCACTCCCCTCTCTCTGCAAGCTTCAGTCAAGTCTATGGGCCAAATGTCCCCTCCCCTTCCACAATTCAAAGATGCGTACACCTACTAAATCGTGATTTGTCCAAATGACCAGTGGCGAAAAACCAACACACCAGAACATTTGTTGCTCGTATATGTCGCATCAAACAGTCTGTCGACAGACGTTACGATACAATTTATGTTAAGTAGTCTGTTCGCAAGAGATTACAGTCAGACAGACATAAAGGTACACCTGCATTTATCACCAGGGTGAAAGTAAAGCAAAACCTGTGTGGAAATGTTTTGGGTTGTTTGGTTATTAGCTGTAAAGCCTTTAGCCAATAGTAATCTTCTCTTGTCAATGTTTTACCCTCTCACATTCTGATTGTTTACAGGGCAACAGATGGTGGATGCAGACTCTGAGCCAGATGACAAGGTAGGCCTAATTCACATTATTCTCTTCAACAGATACACTGGTTTCAAGGTAGCAACTTAAATGTCCAAGCAAACACTTACTTCAATGAAGTATACTACTGTTGCTAAAAAGTTTAAAGAGGGGTTATTTTAAAGTTATGCAAGCAGATATTCAATATAAAACAGACAAGAATGAAAACTAGTTTTACACTTGCAAAGCTCTTAGAAAACCCTTTTTGAACATTTGCATCTGGTGAATAGACTGATATTCCTTCAGTTGAGATTGGTAATTTACCTTCAAATGTCTTCCATTAGAGATCTAGTTTTATATAGTCCTTTCATCAATGATTGGCAATTTGCAGAGAATTTGCAGAAACATCAAGTTACAGTATGATGTCAAAGAAAAGTAAAGAAAGAGTTGAAGTTGAACTTTCATTGAATTACTTCTACAAACACTAACACTTAATGGAAACTAATTTTTTTTTATACTTAATGTTGTAAAAGGAGGTTCTCTCTTCTTATAAAGCAGAACCCTTGCAGTAAAATAGATAACAGAGTTAGAGCACCCGTGTCCAATTCCTGTGTTGCTATCATAAAAATAGAATCACTAGAACAGGAATTCCCATCCAAGTCAATGGGTCTGTAATTGGTGGACCGGCATTATCCTACCACAGGACCCATTCTTCGTTAGTAAGCTGTTGGAGTACCTCAACATGGACCCCTTCAGTGATGCTTCAGATGCCCAGCTGGAGGTTGGTGATGCTGGTGGTGCTGCAGGCAACCCCTCCATTGAGGGCCAGAGAACAGTGGGTCTTGAGAACGTAAGGAGCAGGACCACACAGGGCCAGGTGCCTGTACCACACCCCTGGGAGGAGAGGAGCATGACTATGGGAGGAGAGGATGGAGCTCCAGACCAGCCAGATGATGGAACCTCAGACCAACCGGTGGATGTCCAGGGTTCTGACTCCCTGGTAGACTCTGAGGTGGAGAGGTGGATCCACGGTACCGAAGCTCCTTCTCCTCCAGCGGCTGAGACAGACCTCCTGGCAGAAGAACCACATAAGAAGAATCTCCTAGCAGAACCACAGAAGGAGGACATGCGACTCCAGGAGGAGGTGGTACACATGGGAGTCAAAGCTTACTCAAAGTCACCGCAAGTGAAAGACCACCACAGCGACTTTGGCTACATCATTACAGACACAGAGTGAGTATGGTGAAGATTATACTTGCTGCTATTTACCAATATACTGTATGTATTTATACTCTCACTTCACAATGACCAGTTATCTCCAACACTATGTGTTTCCTGTTTTTCTCTATTCACCTTATATCATTTTTGATTGTGGGCATACTGTGGACAGTAAAGACCTGAAACAATCTTTGTTGCCTAAATTCAGGCTACTGTTGAAAGACCATATATCTTTCAAAACAACCCTGACATATACAAATGTTTTCTTTTTATAGAGAACTATAGCTGGAAATCCTCAGTGGTGCACTTAAGCACAATAGTTGTGATGATAAGTCCCTAGGTGTGGGTATTACCACGCTGTATAACAGTGTTAATGATGATATGGTGTCAGCAAGGTCAGGGGAGTCAGTCAGACTCACTCTCCTCTCGGCTGAGCCTCACACCACAAGATACATTTCTATCGACTGTGTTTTCGCCCGTGGAGCTTTCTCAAATCCCTTTAATGGCCGTTATCAGGCAGAGTGTCAGAGCGCTGTCCTTCACCTGTTCAACAGCATACCGCTCGCTGTCTTGGGGGCACTCGCCACCGGCCATCCGGGCTTGATGGGCCATATCTCAGAGACCACACCACACACACCTCGCCACACATACCCCACCACACACACACACACCGCATCAGGGGAGACGAGAGGAACAGGTCACCTTCCAGACAGACTTTTCTCTCTCTTCTTCCTCCTCCTCCTTCTCTTCCTCCTCCTCCTTCTCTTCCTCCTCCCCCTCCCCCTCTTCCTCCATCCCCAGCCCGGTGTTGCTGTAGCTAGCAGGGGCCTGCCTGCTGTGGTTTCCAGAGTTTGCTGCAGACATGATGATTGCACAGTTGTTATCCCTACCTCCTTCCCCACCCGCAGTGGGACCAGGCTAACCTGCTTATCTGACAGCTCCTGACATTGTGGAGAGAGAGAGAGAGAGAGAGAGAGAGAGAGAGAGAGAGCTCTAGAGAGAAGAGAGAGATAGAGAAGAGAGAGAGAGAGAGAGATAGCGTCCTCTCATCTGAGTTACTATGGCAGATCTAGTCTCTCCACTCTCTCAGCCTCTATCTCTCTCTCTCTCTCTCTCGCTCTCGCTCTCTCTCTCCCTCTTCCTCGCTCCTCGTCTCTCTATCTCCTCCTCTCTCTCTCGCCCGCTCTATCTCTACTCTTCTCTTCTCTACGCTCTCCTCTCTCTACATCTCTATCGTCTCCGATCAGATCCGCCTCCCACCTAAAAGGGGTCTTTGTCTGTCCCCATAGGAGAATCCTTTGAAGAAGCCTAATTTTTACCTTATTGGTTCCAGGCAGAACCCTTTTCAGTTCCATGTAGAACCCTTTCCACAGAGGGTTCTACATGGAATCCAAAATAGTTCTACCTGGAACCAAAAAGGGTTCTCCTATGAGGACAGCCGACGAACCCTTTTGGAACCCTTTTTTCTAAGAGTGTACCTGAGGATGCACACCAGTTTACATTTACAATTTTGTGTATTGTTATTGGTTGGTCTCTTTTACCCCAATATTGGCTTAGTCTTCCAAGAGTCCTTTAAATCCTTTAAAGGCAAAACATATGACAAAAACAAATGTACTTACAGTACATCATATATTGTGCAGCCTACATACCTACATACAGTACGTACATACCTACATACAGTATGTCATCTTTCACCCCAATGATCTTCATCTAGCCCTGTCATTTCCTGCATACAGAGCATCCTCATGCAGATTGCCTTTGTTTGCCCTGTCTACGTCCCGAATGGCATCCTATTTCCTGTATAGTGCACTTATTATGACCAGGGCGCATAGGGGAATCCATGGGGCCCTGGTCAAGAGTAGTGTACTATGTAGAGAAAAGGTGCCATGTGGGACGCAAACTCTGTTTCCTTGGGCAATTTCCTCTCTGAGTGAGAGAGCAGCCACTGGACTGAGCTCAGATGGAGCATGGCTTTATCATAGAGCCATTACACTTTCACACATCCATTCCATTTTCACATTATTATTCATCTAACTTTGTGTGTGTGTGTGTGTGTGTGTGAGAGAGAGTGTGTGTGTGTGTGTGAGAGAGAGTGTGAGTGAAGCACGTCCATATGATACAGCCATTACACCTCACGCCGGTTCCATTTGCACCTTATTGTTTGTCTCATTCCTGGAAAATGCAGGTGATTTACCAAGCCTGAAGAGGCACCTGATACCTATTCCCCTGGTGCAAGTGTGTGTGTGTGTGTGTGTGTGTGTGTGTGTGTGTGTGTGTGTGTGTGTGTGTGTGTGTGTGTGTGTGTGTGTGTGTGTGTGTGTGCGTGTGCGCGTGTGTGTGCGTGCATGTGTCCATGCGTGCACATATATAATGTGTGTGTGTGCACATCTATACTGTGTGTGTGTATGTGTGTGTGTGTGCAAGCTCGTATGTCTTATAATTGTTATTTTATGTACACTACCAGTCAAAAGTTTGGACACACCTACTCATTCAAGGGTTTTTCTTTATTTTTACTATTTTGTACTTTGTAGAATAATAGTGAAGACATCAAAACTATGAAATAACACATATGGAATCATGTAGTAACCAAAAAAGTGTTAAACAAATCAGATATTTTATATTTGAGATTCTTCAAATCGGCACCCTTTGCCTTGATGACAGCTTTGCACACTCTTGGCATTCTCTCAACCAGCTTCATGAGGTAGTCACCTGGAATGCATTTAAATTAACATATGTGCCTTCTTAAAAGTTAATTGGTGGAATTTCTTTCCTTCTTAATGCATTTGAGCCAATCAGTTGTGTTGTGACAAGGTAGGGGGGGGTATACAGAAGATAGCCCTATTTGGTAAAAGACCAAGTCCATATTATGGCAAGAACTGCTCAAATAAGCAAAGCGAAACAACAGTCCATCATTACTTTAAGACATGAAGGTCAGTCAATATGGAACATTTCAAGAACTTTGAAAGTTTCTTCAAGTGCAGTCGCAAAAACCATCAAGCGCTATGATTAAACTGGCTCTCATGAGGACCGCCACAGGAATGGAAGACCCAGAGTTACCTCTGCTGTACAGGATAAGTTTCCAGCCTCAAATAAATGTTCATGTAACAGACACATCTCAACATCAACTGTTCAGAGGAGACTGTGTGAATCAGGCCTTCATGGTCAAATTGCTGCAAAGAAACCACTACTAAAAGACACCAATAAGAAGAAGAGACTTGCTTGGGCCAAGAAACATGAGCAATGGACATTAGACCGGTGGAAATGTGTCCTTTGGTCTGGAGTCCAACTTGGAGGTTTTTGGTTCCTACCGCCGTGGCTTTGTGAGACGCGGTGTGGGTGAAAGGATGATCTTTGCTGGTGACACTGTCTGTGATTTATTTAGAATTCAAGGCACACTTAACCAGCATGGCTACCACAGCATTCTGCAGCGATACGCCATCCCATCTGGTTTGGGCTTAGTGGGACTATCATTTGTTTTTCAACAAGACAATGACCCAACACACCTCCAGGCTGTGTAAGGGCTATTTTACCAAGAAGGAGAGTGATGGAGTGCTGCATCAGATGACCTGGCCTCCACAATCCCCCGACCTCAACCCAATTGAGATGGTTTGGGATGAGTCGGACGGCAGCGTGAAGGAAAAGCAGCCAATGAGTGCTCAGCATATGTGGGAACTCCTTCAAGACTGTTGGAAAAGCTTTCCAGGTGAAGCTGGTTGAGAGAATACCAAGAGTGTGTAAAGCTGTCATCAAGGCAAAGGGTGGCTTTTTGAAGAATCTCAAATATAAATTATATTTTGATTTGTTTAACACTTTTTTGGTTACTACATGATTCCATATGTGTTATTTCATAGTTTGGATGTCTTCACTATTATTCTACAATTTAGAAAATAATACAAATATAGAAAAACGCTGGAATGAGTAGGTGTGTCCAAACTTTTGACTGGTACTGTACATGTCGGTGAGATGTGAAAACCCAGCCATGCTAATTAATAGGGCTGGTTGTTGCCGGTTCTGTGACTGGTTGGTTGTATAGCAATATGAAGGAGCATCATCTCTGATAACCTGCTCTCTCTGTCTGTCCTCCCAGCTCCCTCACCTCTGACCAGGGCTTGGACATGATGGAACGTCTGGGTCGGCGGGTCAACCTCCACGTGACCGACCTTCTCCACCTCTCGTAGGTATTACAGGACACAAACATGCAGTAACGCAGACATAAGGCTGTGGCATTCTTGGAATTTGAGGTTACCGTAATTGGCCATGTACACGGTCACCGACATAGCCAGGTTGGAGAGGATGGGTGCATTGTCCATTTGACACAACATTAGGGCATTATAGGCCTCAGAGCCAGAACAACCTTGTCGACTGCCGTTGAATATTTTTTTACTAGTCAGACACATCCAACCTTTTTTAAAAAAGAAAACAGATGTATTTATTTACTAGCAAGCAATGAAACGTGCATTGTATAAAAGAAAGTCCACGCATCAAATAATTTTTTTACGGAAGTGCCATAGCCTATAGTGCTCTACACCCCCGCGCATCTAGCATATTAGCTGCTTGAGCATCAAAGGAAAGGTGGAAAAAGGAGCAGATGTAGAAAGTTTAATAGACAGACTGTTGGATTATTTTTTTCTTATAATCATTTGTAAACACTCCTGCTATTAGGTAAAGTTCATCTAAATGAAACTAAAGTTAATAATAATAATTATTATAATGTAGGCCTATCTAAACTGTTATTTTATTTTCATGACAGTCTTCACCCATAACTGTCAGTTACACGGTTATTCAATTACCATCACAGCCCTATGAACACACACACCTTGTGTTTTTGTTGTTGTTGTTGTTGTTGTTGTTGTTGTTGTTGTTGATGAGTGGGACTGGAAGGTATTGTCAACATAACAGTCTAAACCAGGGGTGTCAAACTCCTCCCTTATACTTGATTGATCAATAAAGGCCATTGATTGGTTAGGAACTTCCCTCATCTGGTTGTCTAGGTCTTAAAGGGGCTATCTGCAGTTTAAACAATAACAAAGCAGCCACTCCAACACTTTGATAAATAGCTCAGGGATGGGGCTGGAGAAATGTAACCACTCAAATTCATAGAGGGAGCTATGGGTAAAAGGACTGACCATCCATGAGATCTAAATGATAGTTTTAACCATGTTTTGAAGCTGTGTTTGTTAACAGTGACATTGTTTACATTACATCCATTGGAGTAAAACAAGCTTATATTTTGGTTTCTGATGGGGTAAGACAGATTCACTAAGCTCATGAGGCATTTATAAGTTATATTCTTCTAGAATCAATGGCTATATATAATTACTTCAATGTCCAAAAATGGATGTAGCAACTGTAGATTGCTACGTATTGAAATGAAATCTCAAAGACCAGCAGACACGGCCCTCCAGGAATTAGGTTTGACATCCCTGGTCTAAACTAAAAGACCATTTAAAATTCAGAAGAGGAATGTTTTTTTGTGATGTTAAAAAAAAACTATAATGTGAGCTTAGGGAACAGATTGAAGGTTGTCCAGCACTCCAGAAACACTAAGTACTGTGTGTGTGGAGCTGCCCCTGCAGTGCTGTAGCGGAGTGTGTAGGCGTTGGTTGTTATTCTGACCTTTGTGTGTGTTTGACTTCCTCTGGGGAGAGAAATCAGCTCTAATTACCTCCACATATAGGATGCATCCTAAATGGCACCCTATTCCCTATATAGGATCCATAGGGCTCTGGTCAAAAGCAGTGCACTATATAGAGAATAGGGTGCCATTGGGGACAACCATATTCTGATGTCTCTATTGGATTCACATCGCTGCATTGTTGTTGTCGATGACTCTAAACACATTTAAAAAACAGTCATGTTTCCTAACAATATGCTCTTTGTTGTGAAAAGACTTGAGAAACACACACACAAGTACATAAGCATGCAAGTGCACACACACACACACACACACAGAATCCCGCTGCAGAGCGATAGCAGTGTTAATGTATTAATGACATGGTGAACCATCCTTGAACCCAGCTAGTTTCTCATGGTAGTTCTATGGATATCCTGCTGGAACCAGACCATGTAGGAGGCAGACGAGACGTGTAAAAACTGAGTCTGACAAGCCTTTCAAGCCCCTAAACAAGGACAGGGGACGTCTGGGTGCTTCTCGTACAACACTAGCATATGCTTAGATGCCAGAGGTGCAAACAGTAGGCTTTGTTTCTATGGACACCTACTGCTATTCAGGTGCTTAGTTCCATTATTTGGAGGTAAAGATGACATATTATCATTGTGGCTCAGTTGGTAGAGCAAAGGGCTTGCATTGCCAAGAATCATGGGTTCGATTCATGCTCGTGCCACCCATTTGAAAGATTCACGCTGGGGCCACCCATATGAAAAATGTATGCACGCATGACTGTACGTTGCTTTGGATAAAAGAGGCTGCTTAATGGCATACAGTATTTTGTAATATATTTGATTTTAGTGATAGGACAAACTAGGCAAACCCACCAAATGAGATATTAACCAAAGAAACAGTTTCAACTGCAAATCATTCAAAATTGCTCAACAAACTTGCCAATGACTCATGAGGGATGAGCATTATGAGTCATGCATCTCTGTCCAGACCGGCTCTATTATGCCACACCGAGCTGATAGCTAGCTCTTACGTATTCTGTTCCAGGAGACCGATATACAGAGATACAGATGGCTGCTAATGTATCCTTTGTCTGCTCTGTTTTTCCCTCCTTTTGGACTAAATGTGCTGTGCTAGAAGCGTATTTATGGAGAAATGATGGGCATTTGTTCGCGGATGATGCAAGCCAGAGCTCATTGTGTTTTTCTCCAGTATGCTCAGCTGGTGAGACTATGAAAGCACCCGTCTCGATGTGAACCAACTGTCTGCTAGTGAGGGTCAGAACACACTGACACCCCAATGCGTCCCAAATGGCACCATATTCCCTAAATAGTGCAGAGGGCTCTAGTCAAAAGCAGTGCACTGGGTCGTTCCACCAATTCGGTGCCTTTGGTGAAGTGTAACTTGGTCCCAAAAACGTTTGATTTCGTCTAATTTTAACATTCTTTCATAAAGAGAACATGTTCAACTTCATAAAAAACATGTTTTCCCATCTCAAGTTAAATAAATAAAAATACTTTAGTAAGTGCCTATTAAGTGCCAAATAAAATCCCCTTGTGACAGGGGGAATGGAAGCTTGTTGTGTGCAACAGGGAGGGGCAATTGAATACAAGCTTCACATTTGTTAAATGCCCACACGAGAATAAATCCACTTTTTCTAGGTGAAAGACAATGGCCAGAGCTTGCCCATGATGTTGCACAACGATTTAAGTCAGTAAGTCATAGCTTTAGTCAAAGTATGTAATATTTGGGCTTGAAGTAACAAATCCAAACTGCCCACTTTGTGCAAATCCGTGTGAATCCACTTTTGCCTGTGATATGACATACAAATTATTAGTTTCATTTCAGGGCATAAAAAAAAAATATATATATATTTATTTTACACCCACCAGCATGGCAAAGTTATTCCTCTTTGAGACTGAGATGAGCCAAACAGCCTTGTGTCCACTTGGCCGCCTGAGCCATGAAGCAAATTAAAATAAGGGGTGCAAACTTATGTTTTTGCAGCTCCACTTTTCCCCCCCAGAAAATGATCATAATCCATTGGATAATTTGTACATTTTTATTTTTACTTAAATCAATGCTTATGACAAATCCAGCTCCAGAACCAGCCATAGAATATGGTGTAGTAAAAAAAAAGAAGAGCAACAACAAATAACATTAGCTAGCTAGATAAGGTTGGCATGCTAGCTAGCTACACTGACAGTTGTCAGTGCTCTATTTGTGGATGTTTATCAACTCCACATGAAAATTCCCACACCCACTAAGTAGCCTTTGTCATTCTTTGGAGGTGGAACCTAAACGTGCATTTCCTCTCTAGGACAGGAAATTATGTTGAAATAGTGGGCAGGGTCCTTTAAAACATTTCTAGCCTGTCTTATAACAGTTGACGTGTTTTGCTGGACCCGCTCAGTTTTCCACCACAAACTACCATAAAATGGCCAAAAAGACTGGAACCAGCTCAACTGCTTTTACACTATAAGTTGACCATAGGCAGCGCGTGAGTTTCAAGTTTGGGGAAACTAATGTTCACCATAAAAATGCACCTTTATAATAAAGCATTCAATGCATCATCGCATTTGCAGACTTACTGTATGTAAGATAGCCTACTACAGTATTTGCAATGTGATGAGTAGATTTGATAATCATAATTTAGGCTAATAATATAATTCAATCACTGTTCGCAAAAAATACCGTTCAATGCATGGCTGAGCGCGTATAGCGTAGAGTAATGTAGGCCTAGGCTATATCAGATACGTTTCTTTCTTTGCACAGGAAAAATGTTGCCTTTTTTAAACACATTACATGCAATTCTACTACACTTTATGTGACTGGAGACATTAGCAGAATCTTTTTTAATACGACAAATTACAGGTTAGCCTGCTCTGCTGACACTGACAAACAGATCAATAAAAACAACGTTGTCTGATCCATATAATAGGCCTACGAGAAGGGGAGACACAAATAGAATATGATCTAAACTGCAGGAGGAAATTATTGTCCAAAAACAAACTTTTAAGTGGGACTGACCCAACAATGATAAAGAGGATATACAGTGCATTCGGAAAGTATTCAGATTCCTTGACTTTTTCTACATTTTGTTACGTTACAGCCTTATTCTAAAATTGATATGTTCTCCGCTGGTGCCAATAAGATAGGCTATACTGTTGTTAGCTCAATTCAATTGAGAATTTTGATAAACTAAAAGACAGATTAGAGTATTTTCATTGTCTTCTCTTTACAGCAATAGCATTTGCTTTCCAAACTATGTTTTCCCACGATTGTATTTTGAAATATTGCGATATGCATGGCTGGGCCTCTCTACTTTCCACTCAACAATCATATATTTGGTATTTGCCTAGCGAACTGCCCAAATTGCGCACGCTATCTTTCCTTCCGACAGAAGGTTTTCACCAACAACGAATAAGGCAGGAGAAGTTCCACCGCCATTCATTTTCAACGAGGGCACGCAGAGAAATGTGCAGGGGATTGTGAGCAGTGAGAACCCTGCTAGCGGAACAGTAGAGTTCTGCTCTACTTTATGCAAATTTCAAGCGA